AGAGGGGAGGCCTCGGCTCCGCCCCTTCGCCCGCGTTTACGATATAGGGCGGCGTGAGGGGCTGAGGGTTCCTCATCTGAGTGTATTAGAGGAAAATAGGTCTGGGGGCGGGGTGCTGTAGTCTGTAGGGAAGGGAAAGGGGGAGCGTGTGTAGGCTGTGTGTCTGTCCCCTCTGGGAGGGTAGGACAGGTCCTGAGCTGGTGAGGTCCGCCTTGCCTGGGGAGGTGCAGGGGGGTTGCGTGTCCCCTCCTGTGGCTGGGCTGTCAGCGAGGGCCTGGGGGGGCAGCGAGGGGGCTCCTCCCCTTCCTTGAGAGGTTAAGTTGGCTGTGTGGTGGCTGAGATGAGAGCAGAGGGCCTCAGTGGTTCAAGTTGACCGTGGTGGAGGGCAGTGTGTGCTCTGCCCTCCTGAGTGGTTTGGCCTGATGGCCTCAATTAGGTCCACAGGTTTGGTTAAAAAAAAAAAAAGTGGTGTTGCATTTAGAAGTTAAATTTCACTCTAAGCTTTGCAACGGTGGGCCTTCCTGAGACAAGGCTCTCTTGCCTTGTGCATGTGTTGCTTCATTTGTGATTGATGCAATCTTCCTGTAATCTGACAATATTTCTGGTACCTCTTGCTGCTTTTCAAAGAAAAGTGTTAGTTAATAAAGTAAATTATCTAGTTAAACTGGATTTTGTTAGATAAACGTTTGACCTTTTGGAGGATGATGGTAGGAGTATGGATCTATTTGAAGCTCTTGCTTAGGTTTTCATGCCTTGTGGATAGATATGCATCGTGTTTATTGAACACCTGACTTAGGTGATTGGCTTGAGTTTCTTAAAACAGACTCTTCTTAAGAAGCAGAACTGAGCACTCTGAGTAACGCTTCAGAACCCACGTAGCGCTGGCTAAACTGTCTCTGGTCTGTTGGCGTTTTGGTCCTGAAAAACTTGGGCATTGCTGTCCCAGTCACTGAGAGTTCTTACATTTTTGTGCACAAAGAAACTATTGTCTTGGCCTCCCAATTATAGCCTGCTAACTAAGACTGCATTTGTTAGATGGTGAGCTAGTTATTTCTCTGTGAAGCACTAGAGAACAAATATGAGTGTGAGGTAGCTTTATGAAGCAGTGACTCGCATTTTGACTTAAACAAAATGCATTACATCTGAACTAAAAGGAAAATGAGTTGGATTGAAATAGATTACTTTTACTTGAAAGATGTGTTTCCTTTCTGCAGAGGCAGTAATTCTAACGCAAAGAGCAGCTTTAAAATGTTTTTCTTGACTTAAAGCCTGATCATAGCCTTCCTGCAAATTTGACAAGGTTCTTGTATCCTGCAAATTTTACGAATACAAATAGTCTTTCATGTTACATCAATAATCAGCTTTCTCGAATACCTACCAAAACGTAGCCATTATCAGACTTGAGTAAATGATTTGATGTATTTAAAGGGCAATCTTCGTAATTTATACTCATCAGAAATGCCTGTTGTGAGGTCTAGTCTC